CCACATGGGTGACCTGAATCCAAAAACATCATACTTCAGCATTACCGCAACACATCTTTTTTTCCACATCACATATCAATCACTAGAACTTCAGAACTTATTTCTCACATGATGGAAGCACCAAAATTAGTGTCCAACACTACATATAAAGAGCTAAACACAGTTCCCTAGAAGTGTGATACACCTCATAAAAAGCATTCATAAGTTTACACATGTTGCTTAGTGGAAAAGTTAGGTTTACAGGATGGCATCATTTCAACGAACGTTATCAGATTCGCTAGGGAGCCCACTACGGTTTGGCTAGGTAAGAAACTAATCCAGGGAAAGTCCTTAGGTATTGAATTAGAATTGAAACGTGGACATTTTGGAAGTATATATACAAAATAGGGTTTTTACCAAAAAGGATTGAAGGTGCCAAAGGATAAATATTAATATTTTTTATGGAGCTTTTTCTTAGTATCATCTTGATGTGATACTATAGAAAGTATTTTTCATTTTAAAATTTATTTTTAAGGAGATTAATTTTTGCAAAAACTATGAACAGATGCTATGTAACTGTCTCAAGCCACAATACAAATATGCATGTACCCATAATTTAGGAACTTCGCTATAGGGGGGAATCCATTTCTACTAGGATGCTGCCATTTCCCAAATTAAGGGAAACAGGATCAGAAACTAGGACATCACCATTTCCAAACCAAGATGCTTCACATATTTTAATTTCAATTCTGAATATCAAAAGATATGTTGTATTGTTACATCTCTTAGATAAGTTACGAATGAATTGGTGGATCGATCAAATTTTCGAATTCTATTCATTTTCACAACTCACTGTCACCTATGATAGACATGCCTTTGATGCCATCCATCCTTTTTAAGTAATTCACAAGTACATTAAACGCTCCTTCAATACTTGTAATTTATTTTGCTTCAATCTTCGTCATTTATTTTGTTTCAAGCCGCTCGATTTATTTGTTTCAAAAAAGTAAAGAAACCCCAAAATAGTAGATTCGGTTATTTGTTACTATAAAGTGTAGTTTTTTATATAGGTAAAACTTGGGAGTTCTCAAAACATCAGCAAATTATTCAAATAACCCAGTGGTTTTTCAAAAACCTAGAAAAATTTTCATAAACACAACATTTTTTTCTAAGAATCCCAATTTTTTTAAATGATCCAGTTTCACCTCAATATGGAGGCTGAAGCACTGAAGACTTCTAAGTCGGTCAAAGCGTAATGAATTTGATAAAACTACCAAGTCTCATCAAGTCATGTTTGGGAAAACTAGACATAAAATTAAATATCACAACCCATACCAATGTCCATCCATTATTTCCATAATCTTTTTAAATCACGTTTACTTTATTTTCCATCCCATGAACCACCAGGATATGAGCAAGAGCTTCACAAACCATGAACACAAAGGTTACTAGCCGTGTTAATAAAGCTGGGCCCTTTGTTTTGACACTCTTATCAAGAAGTTTATTATTTACTGTTAACCAGACTCGCAAAGTGTACGAATTCATTGATAAATGTATACTTGCACGTTTGTGCGCATTTACCCATTCATGTACATAGTTATGGCTTTACATATGTAAGTGTCTGTTGGACCGTGCTTATGTATGTATGCATTTATGTATGAGTGAACAATCATATGTATAATAAATCTGTGCATCCATATGCAGAACACCATGTATATGTGGACATATACATGCACACATAGGTATGTGTCTGTCTATATATATGTACCTTAATCTAAATGAAGGTATTACATGGGCATGCATTTGAATACACACATTCGAACACTTTGTATACTATACATGTCTCCAGGGAGGTCATCATATAGGTGTGTGCATATTCATGTCTATATGTTTGTGCACTGTTCAGTTGTGACCATAAATGAGTTTGGTATGTATGTTCATAGATATGCTAAACATTGCATGCAGACATGCAATTATGCCATACACATGCCCATAGAATGCAATGTGTACCAAGATCAAAGCTTCTAGTCTAACGTCAAGTTCCCTTCAACAAAACTAAAACAACATATCTAGTGAACCCACAAAAGAAATAAATAAGTGACCATCAAATTCTTTAAATACATTACCTAGATATAGGATATGGTTTGCCAACTGCTCAAACACCTATATGGGTCCATGGTTCATAAAAGATTGGTGCATTTCCGAGGTATACAAGAAAAAGAAAATGCAAGTTTTAGAATGCTAGATGGGAGTGTTGTCCAGTAGTCATATTCATGTAGTTGAAGGCCTTAGAAAGGAAGGGTACTTGAAGAGTGGAAGATCGTTCAACAGGGAATGAAGAGACAGACACATACGAATGCCACTTTCAACAAAGAAGACTTTGACATGAATTGAAATTTTGCTAAAAAAATTTATCGATACTCAATGCAGTCCCACACAGAGTCAGCCCAAGGAGGCTCAACCAAGTCTTTCCAAAAACTGACAAAAGAAACACAGACTTGACATAGGCTTCTATGACTGAATCATACCGAGTCTCATTTAACTGAATCAGTAAGTTCCAAAGCCCACTCAACTCAGGTAAGTCCTAAATTGACTTGACATGTTTCTAAATGTTAGTGAGAGGATGTCTAACTATTAAGGAGGTTTGTGTTGTATGGGAATTGGGACTCCAAACAAGCTTTCTAACATTATTACCAGATGAACAACTAAGTTAAGGTGGGTTTGGGTAACAGGAGACACCCTTCTTCCTAGAGATGAGTGATTGGAGGGTAGTGTCCATTAACTTTCGATACCTACAAGAAGATTGATGCACAATGTCCAGCAAATGTTGAACAGTAAATCTCAAAATAGATTAGCAAAGTAACAGGGAGTAGAAAAATATAACAGTTTCGGAAAGAGAATGAACTGACTATGAGACTCTTCCTCCAATATTCAGCATACTAGCCAGGAATGGAGATTGACAGTTTAAATATTATTGCATGAAAGATGGAGAGCAACAGCAACTTGTTTCACTTCGTATACAATTCATGCAGTTATTCAATCGTATGTCATATGTGCTTGTGGTCCTTTATTCCTTATAGTCCAAGCAAACAAAACACCAAAAATACCCTACCGGATGGGTACTTTTGCGCCTAAGTAGACGCAGTCCCCTAGGAGCCCGCCTAGGTGGGGTATGGGTGCCTAGGGTCCCTAGGTGGACGCCTGCCTAGGTGGGGTACTAGTGGGTGCCCAGGGTCCCTAGACGGGCGCCCATGGACAGCAAGCCTAGTTGGTCAGCCCAGGCCCCCCAGCTCGCCTAGTTGTTGGGAGGACCATTTTTTGAATCATTAATCAACTATAGCAACACAATTCCAAGTCCTATCATCTCCTTTGAATGCAAAAAAGAATAGCTTTAAGAGGAAATCACATTTCACAATCATTGTATTAATCATGCTTCGATATAACAGCTTGTTGGTGATAATTATTTTGTTACCGTTAAACAACCAAGGTAATTTTGTGTGGGATTGAAATATTTTGCTCCCTCTCGTTGGTTGTCTAGTCTAAAAGAATGAACTAAACCCTTTTATTCATCAATAGATACATGATGTTGTTCATTTCAAACTACACATTCAAATGAAAGGGCAGATAGGCTTCATACCTTTCAATAATCAAGTTAGTCACGGTTTTATCTTTATCATATGCAGTATAAATCTCAGGATCTCTGAAACCACTTTAGTACTCAAATTATTCATTCAAAGAAGTGGCAGGATGGGTGTTATCTTTGGCAAAAAAATTAACATCTACATAAACCCCATAGGTTAACACAGTGTTAAAAAATTCGGTGACTCCAGGTTAACCCACATCACTCAACACCGCAGGGCAATGGATCCAGATGAATAACTCTTAAGACTTGGGGCCAATCTGCCCCGAATCACAGATTTTTTTTGTATTTTTAATAGAAAATCGGCCGATTTCGATCTCTGACTCTGCGGCTCTGCTGAGGCAGCCTCTAACTTGGGTGGAGAACTGGCAAGCCAAGGCTGAGCCCAGGGTTTTAATCACTAGTTAAACAACACTCATGACGTTACAGCCCTCAAAATTGGTCTATCTGAACATAAGCATTGCATCATGGTTAAAACCACACGCACAATTCTCACTACTAGGAATGCTGCTAGGAAATTTCTAGTCTTATATTACTTTGGACTACATTGTGCCCACTTTATAGGGGAAACATAAATTGTGGAGATAGCTAATCGGCATTTATGGCTGCAAAGAGATTATTCGGTCAAGTATAATTCATAAACGTCATTTTAAAGCAAAATGAAAGGCACATGAAACATCTGTAAAGAATATCAATTAATAGACTCCGACTCTTGAGTTGAAAGTGAAATTTCCACTATTCATTTTTGGTTTGAAGTTTTGAACTGGTCATTGCTTAGCATAAAGTTAAATGGCCTCGGAACTAGGAATTGCTGTATAACATTACAAACGTTCAAACAGTCTGAAGTCATTAACCATATATGAACCAACCATATATAAACCATGCAATAGTAACATTCAGAAATTCAGTATGATCCACGAACAACTCATGTATTAATAAAATTATAATTATTGATAATAATTTGTTAAGGAAAGAATGACCGCCTTAGATAAGTTCATTTCAACCAACGGACTGAAACATATTTACTTCAATTTTTAAAAGTAGGATACAGAGTACTGATTTAAACAAATGTAAAATAATTCAGTTAATTCAAAACAAAAGACTAGGTTGCAAAATGAAAAAAAATAAAATACAATTCAAGAAAGACTTGCAAAATGAAAAAACGAAAATACAATTCAAGAAAGACTTGCAAAATGAAAAAAAGAAAATACAATTCAAGAAAGACCGACTTGCAAAATGAAAAAAATAAAATACAATTCAAGAAGACCACCGAGCATGTATAGAACCCAATTACCTTTAAAAACATGCCAGAAATCAACAAAATTTAAATAAAAAAAAACACAAAAGATTCAAAACAATAAATCTTGCGAGGTCTACTAACCATTACTCTCCATTTCTCTCTCCATTTCTCTGCGTTTTCCACTTTGACTCCCACCCTTTCTTGCCATATCACTCACACAATGATGCCCGTCCCTCTTCTCTGATTTCCGCTTCAACTCCACCTTGGACGTCTCCTTCTTTGAATCCTCGACATCGACTAGTTCAAGAACCCTAACCCTGGATTCGTCTTCCTCTGCAGGGCCGTGCTTGGAGTTTCCCTCTTCCTCAGAGTCCACTCTCTCCCTTTCACTGTGCTTATTCTCCTTATGAGACTTGTGTCGAGACCCTCGAGGCATGCCTAAAACACCAAAAACACCTTAACCCTAGGCCTGCAACTACGAAGCCTGATCAGAAGAAAGAGAGAACTCAAATAAATAAACAAATTAGGGTTCCATTGGGGGTCAAAATGCCTAGGGTTACAGAGAAATCGAGGAATGGGGAGAATTTTGCCCTGTTTTCCGGAGTATGTCAGAGAAAGAGCAATAGGGCAAAAATTCGCCGGAAAATGGCGCAGGTGCCCCCGGAGATCTGGTGGAGAGGAAATGGGGGGAGAAAGAGGGGATTAAGAAATGGGGTACTCGTAAGATATGTACCCCTTTTGTGGATGAGTAATTAAAATATAATGGACTTGGTACATTCCCTTAACTGCCCTTCTTATTTTAGCGTGAAAATAAGGAAGGGCAATGTCGTTTTTAGAGTTTAAATGAGGAGAATGAAGTCTTTTGGATAGAACATTGACTTATTAGGGAATTACGAGAAAGTCCATCGCGGTATTTTTCTGGCTGGAATTACGTGAAGAGTAGATATTTATAGTAGGGGGCAATGGGTTCGGTTGGCGGCTTCACCCGGCCCTAAAGAATACGGCTCTGGTGGCCCATGGTCAGGCTAGGCTTTGGCCAGGGCCACAACAGGGTCAGTCCAGTTCGGCCCTTTTTTTTTTATTTTTTTTCTAACCTAGCACTATCCTTAGAGCGCTAGGGGCAAGCTTGGGCCAGGGCGTCTTTGGCCCAGTCCAGGGCGGGCTGGCCTGGCCCTTTGGGAACTACGGTGACGCTAGGATCCCCTTTCGGTATAATACAAGTGGGGTACAGGTCGGTGCGGCTGACCTGAACTTGGACCAAAATAGTATTTGGGTAAAAATTTTGGACCTAGATCCAGACCCATCGGGTCTTGGGTTTGGTTGGATCCATTGTATTTTACGACTATGAGTTTCTTGTTTTTTTTTTTTTTTGCCTTTCTTTTTTTCCATTGTATACCTTAAGACTATGGGTTTCTTTTTTTTGGTAATAATACAGTAAATGTTGCCAATACTGGGACAATATGAACACCCAGCGCGCCCTTAAAAAGCACATAATTACCATCATATTATAATAGTATTTGGGACCAAATTTTGGACCTGTATCCGGACCCGTCAGGTCTCGAGTTTGATCAGATCCATTACTACCATTGACTATGAGCTTCTTCTTTTTTTGCCAATAGTATTGTAAATGTAGCCACTATTGTGACAATATGAACACGTAGCGCGTGCCTAAAGACAAATAATTGCCATCATATACCCTATGATTATGTATATGAGTAAGGTCCAGTTGGACCCGAACCTGAATAGTATTCGAGTCCAAAATTTGGACCCATACACGAACCTACGGTCGGGTATAGCATATCCGTCAAGTTCATTGCCCATCCCTGCAATACAAATGGTTTCTGTCTAGGTGTGGATGTTCCTATTTGATCATCTACTTTATGCTACTGGATTCATGATTTTAATTTCACAAAGAAGATTTTGTCAAGAATTGATTGAAATTCTAGCATAAACTCGTGAACACACACCTTAGGCTCTTTTGATTTCCAAGGATAAGCTTATGGCTCTTTCCATTGTTCAAGCAAGACTAGTTAGCTTAACCTATGGGTGGCAATGGGCCGGGCCAGCCGATGGCTAGCCCTAACTCAACACACTTTTCTTTAGGTAATATAATCACTTATATATTTCTTAATTGCCTCTACATCCGGCAAATTTGTTTACTTTTTTTAAAAAGAGAGGTCACATCTTCTAGTATTAGCAATAATTTTTTTTTGTTTGGACGGAGAAAGGGCTAGAGGGCCTGGCCCGTTGTTAATTTTTTTGTTCCTTTTTCTTTTGGCTGCATGGTATTCATAGTGATATCACCTATACATATGCTCTAAACTTAAGCACCCATGGATGAAGTTCCACAGTCGGGGGACTATATTCTGGATTTTCAAAATCAGTTTTAAAACTTTTTGATGTTCAACATCTAAAAAATTTATTTTTAAAGTCTCCAATATTTTCGGATTTTGATAATTTTTGGGTCTTGAAGGTCGGATTTCTTTTTTAGAAATAATGGTCATTTCGGAAAAAATTTGGGGATCCTAAAAAATACATGTATTATAGGAAAAAGTATATGTAATGAGCAAAAAATTTATCCGATATTGTAATAATAGTAAAAATAATGAATATATGCATAATTTTTTCTTTTTCCATATATGGAAATGGCAAAAGCCAAAGTGAAATTATGGACGAGGATGGCAATGACCTCAAGAAGAAGTAACTAAATTTTGCCCAAAAATAAGTAAATGCATTCATCTGAGTTTTTTGAAAATTTAGATCGAGAATCTTTGACTTTAAGGACTTGACTAAAAGGTTTGGATTATTTTAGAATGGATGAATAAGATCTACCAAAATACCATTAACACTATATATGTCGATGTTGTTGTTCTTTTTATGAAGCAAGCCTAAGCTCTTCTCTATATTTGGGCAAAGAGACGATTAAAGGAGGCCCCTTTACATTTCTTTTAAATAAGGACACGGTTTCTACGAGTCCATGTAACAAACAAATAAGGCATTTTTTTTAAATCTATTTTTGAGATGGATTTTTGGATTTAATTTATAGAGAAAATAACACAATATCCTCGAACTTTCCGTTATTACAAGTATACTAGTTTTTTCAACTTTGTAACATTTTTTAAAAAAGATGATGATTTTTCAAAAACCAAAAATTAAATAAATTTGATTCTCTTCAAAAACCTAAATTGGGTTTCATCTTCAAAACTCCTTTTTTCCTTCTCTTTCCTGCTCAAAAACCGAAATTGTATTTTCTCCTGTGCAAAATGTGTTGCTAAAATAAATACAAAATGCGTTCCCTCTCATATCATTATGAACAAATGATCCCTTCCCTAAAGCATCACTTCTCAGAATAGAATGCCTCAGATTTTTAACGAACAAACTGAAGCTTTCTTTCCCATAACCGGAAGAAGACTTTTCAATGGCTGAACTTGTCAAAGCATATAGCTCTGCATTAGATACGGCCAGAATAAGCATAAACTTCTTTCTGAACAACACCTCTAATTCTAAAAACCAAGTGAAAATATTAAAAAATAACAAAAGCATGCGAAAAGTTTACCATCCAAAAGAACAATCAGGTTCAACATCTCACTGTATATCCTCTAATAATATTTCATAAAGAATATTATGGTCGTTTTACACTTGCATAGGGTAAGATTTCATTCAAGTCATCAGTCCGCCTCAACCACTCTGTCTGAAGCACGTCAACTTCAGCCAGAGGCCCACTTCATGTGAACCTAACAAAAGGCCATTAGGGGGACAATGTACCAATCATGCCCTGGAGATAAGAGATGCAGCCAAGACGTGCATGGAAAGCTTGGTGGGAATTCAATAGATGAGTGGGACATCAGAAACAAAAGTGAACAAGGAGGGGTGTTCAACCCGGCAAAGTGTATCGAGAGAGAGTGAAGAGGGGTTTTGAAGAAGAAACCCAATTTAGGTTGTTGAAAAACATATTTTTTTTAATTTTTGGTTTTTGAAAAACCAAAATTTTTTTAATTTTTTTTTTTTGAAAAACCGACAAGGCAGTTCCGTTATTTTTTTTAGATGTTACGAAGTTAAAAAGACGGGTATACATGTAATAACAGAAACCTCGAGGTAATTTCGTAATAATGCTGATTCAATGATGTGGATCTAAATAAGATGCCTTGTTGAATTGATCTAGCAAAAACCTACCCATCGTAATTCAAGATTATAGAAACAAACCAAAATTGTAAGGATCTTGAAAAATGATTTGCATAACTAAGAGACCATTTGATTGCAAAATTTTACTAAATGATAGCTTTTTTTACAAATTATAATTTACTAAATAACAATTTGATCAATTGTTATTTGCTCTTTATGGGTGTTTGATTATTACAATTTTCTTGTTACATTATTTTTTATGTGGTGTGATGGTGATGTATGTAATGATGATGGTGGTATAATGTGACAACAGTGGTGATGGTGATGGTGCTATGGTTGTGGTGGGGATGGTGGCGGGTAGGCGATGGTGGTAGACTGGTGGTGTTGTTGATGCTGCAGTGGCGGTGAGATGGTAATGGTGGTGTTAGGGAGGGGGGGGGGGTAGTGAAGGTAGATTGTGGTGCTAGTGCAGTAGAAGTGGTGGTTTTTGGAAAAAGGGTAAAAGAAAGTTCCAGACAAAAAATAAAGTTCAAATTCCTTTCTGATATGAATAATTGTGCATCTCAATTCTCTAGGTAAATTTGTCATTATTATACAAAGAAGCAAAAGATTGTGAAAACTATCTCCCTAATACAAATGCACAAGCGCTGTGATATCTAGAACAAAAAGTCGCTTCTTTTATATCATCAAAACTCATGAACAGTAAAAAGCTACATACTCAAAGGAAGAAAGTGAGTTCCTCTTTAACAGAGAGAGAGAGAGAGAGCCTTTTCACCTCCACCCAATGTAACAGTTCAATGCACGGTTAGATGAAGAGTAATAACTATTTGATCCTTAATTGCTATCGATAAAATGGTCCATCAGTTGCAACTCACATGCAACTGGATACCAATAGTCATATGGGTCAAGAGGTAATTTGTATTCATGTCTCTATAAATACCAATAATTCTCTAACTAAATACATGGGTAATTTCTTTTGTATTTATAGATACATGGATACTCTACTATTTTATACAAGATAATTTATATTATCTAAAGGAAAACTCTTCCCAATGCCTATAGGCGAAAATGAACAGTGATTTTGTCTACCCTCGTCACCATCCAAACTTCATCGTACGGTCAGGTGTCTGATAGTATTTCAATTTTCAGTTTTTTTTATAAATCTAAAGTACTTGAAATTTAGATTGTATGTACATATTAGTGAGGCGTACTTAATAAAAAAGTGAAAACAATAATTCGTAAAATATAAATTCATCAAAATACCCCCAAAAATTTATGGAGGTATTTTGTTTAATTTATATTTAGGAATTATTTTTTTTATATTTTTATTAGGTGTACCTCGCTAAGATGTACACACGCGTCAAATTTCAGATCATTCTGATTAGTAAAAAAAAATTAAAATTAAAATACTACCGTACAACTGAGACCATGCGATGAAGTTTGGATGGTGATGAGGGTAGAATAAATCACTATTCATTTTCGCCTATAGAAGTTTTGTAGTCTCTTCCTTATCTAAAATAGTGCAATATTTATATTCTTCTTTTGGATTATATAATATTCAAATTTCATAAAATACTAAAAATATAATGATTATAATGTAGATGATTATATTTATCAATAGATATAATACATAATATAATATAAATTTTATTTGTAATTATAATGTTTTATGTTGAGTTGATGTGGAACTTGTAGGTTTCTAATAAACTGGTAAAAATAGTGTACATAGCACAATCCGGACCTAAAATGATTCCATATCTAGCATAAACTTGTTGTGTACTCAGTTAATTAAAACAGAGTGGGGCCTAGTAATAATCCGATCCAAAGGTGGTCAAATATCACTAAAAATCCAATCAACATTGCCTGGTTTGTCGATTTTATGAATTTTTCACATCTTTTTCCCTTCACAAACCTAACATTTTGGGATTTGGGTTTCCTAGGGTCGGATTTTTTGGAATTTTGGCTTGTTAAGAATTATTGCCGGCTGGATTATGGCTCAGGTATGACTATGATTTACTATATGCTGTAGTGTATTGGGCTAGCGTAATCTCAAGGGATTAAATGGCTTACCTATGGTTTTTGGGGTAATTTTTAATCCAGAAGAACTATCAATTCCAAAACAGGAGGCGTCTACACATCGATTAGGGAATTCTACTTTACTTTTGAATAAAATGTTGTATATAACATCTAGGTAGATGCTGTCAAAATGAAAGGAAGGGAGATGGTTTGAGAGAAGGGAAGCCGTCATAATAATGAGATTGTATAATGGTAAAATATACAAAGCGAACATTTATTTTTAATACAATAAGATCACAATCACTCTTGTCCTTCATATTTCAAATGGGATAATTGTGAATGTGTCACTGTCTAGACTCAATGTTAAAAAAAAAATCTCAAACTTTGTGATACCTAATGCCATCCAATTTGACATTTAATGGCTCGTAGCAATTATGACCTCCTTGTAGCAAAGATGTTATAATATAAAAGGGATTGTGTACTACTATATATAAGATCACAATTAACTATAGTCATTAGATGTCAAATTGGATAGCTTAGATGTGTCACAAAATTCGAAAAGAAATTTATTGTTTGTACTTTGGATCTAGTAAATGACTCTTATAACTACTTGATTAGAAATCTGACGGACAATAACAATTGCAGCCCCCTTGTACTAAAAGTAAAGGATTTATTTGTAAACTTTTCCTATCGCAAAGGAGCTGTCAAATAATATTCCTTGATTCTAGATAGTTAGGGGATAGGTTTACACCTCAGCCTATCGAGCTCAAATGTGAAGTGCATCCCATCTAATCAATATTTCAGTTCTTACCACTTACCGATAATTGTGACTCTCTTGATGCTTTTTCACAAAGTGCTATGGAACAAAGCATGCATGCCTTGGGTTGTAAAAACTCGTCGATTCAAAGTGGGAATATCAAAACTGGAGTAAAATTCGTAGTTTGAGGTTATTTTCTCACGGATTAAAAAAGGGTGTGGTTTTTGTAAGGTTGCAACATTAAACAATCCAATTAAGACGTACCTCCAAATTTTATCATAACATGTAATTTTGATGTAAAAAATTATTAGGATTATCTGAAAATCCATTTTTGTCTCTAACTATAATGATCAATTAGAGGGTTTTTCAATATTAAAACAACTTTTTCTGATAGATTTTTTAGGTGCATATGTAATTCTACATTTTAAGGTTGCACCTTATATAAACTTTTTCCATTAAAAGAAATAGCCATACTTGCATTGAGAATAACGAGATCCAGGAGGGAAAATCCTAAAATAGGATTCGGCAAATTGGGCAAAGCCAGAAGATATTCTACTGTATCTAGAGTATATTATCTATTTACTCCGTCAAGTAAAACCCCACATACGATTAGTTTCAGGATCCCAAAATTTGATGATAGAACCTCTTTAACACATAATTTGACCTTAACAAAAGTTTTTCTCAATTTGCATCCTCTAAGTACTTGAAAATAAATAATGTCTCGATATTGACTAGAAACCCTCCAGTTTTCAAAGGGTGAGATTTAAGTGTTAAAAAACTCAAATTTCAAATTTTGGATAAAAATCTCCTACAACTCGTTTGGTTCGTGTGAAAAATGTTTTCTAGAAAATAATTTCACATGAAAAAATTATCTCATGCAGTTAAGTGTGATAATATTTTCATACCAATTGGTCTTAGTACATCTTTTCACATCAATTGATAACTAAATGATGTAAAAATATTTTCCAACTTAACCAAATGAGAGAATTTTTTTATGTGATTTTTTTTTAAAAAAATTTATTTTCACACGAATCAAACGTGAAACTAATGATTCTAAAGTGGTTGCCAAAATTTCAGGTTCAAAAAAATTCTCCCAAGTAGGTTAAACTATACTCCCCAGAGAGTACAGTATACATGCTCATTGGGCAATTCACTTGAAATATGAATTTTTGAAAGTTTAATTATTTGTTAATCCAAAAATAGGTCGAATCCGGTGGGAATCTTGAGATGGGTGGAGTGCAGGTCAAATTCAGCACCCCATTTTGTTTTTAAAAACTTGATCCATGTGAGCAATAAAAAAAGAAGAAAAGCTTTTCTCTTTTAAAGGTTTGGGAATATTGGATAATGTGGGTTTTGGCATCATTGGCAATCACGCGAAACTCTTTTTTGTCGCAGCGGGTGTTGGGAATCTTGAGATCTAGATCTGCATAGGCCCAATGTCAAAAAATGCTCACAACATCTACGGAAATGACAATACAACGAATAGTGCTTGGATCATGGTTAGCAAGTCCGTAGTTATCAATAAATCAGAAATCGGAAACTAATAATTTGTATTTTAAAAAGTCGGATAAAAAATATGAATCAGCAAAAATACTTCATATAAAGAAATCACGAATATATCAAACTAGCCTAAAAAAATCAGATATAATTAGAATATTATAAATTTTACAACTCTAAAAATATATATATATATATATATATATATATATATGTATATCACTCAATATAGAAAAAATTGATAGTAGTGAGGAGTAATGCTTTCACTCTATATATATCACTCAGTATAAAAATGACCTCCCTATAAATATAAATTTAAAATATTCAATGTGATATATCTCTAGATTATCTATTCTATTTGTCAATATAAATATTGGGTAGGTGAATTCAATTTAATCTTTCTAGAAAGAAATTGTCTACCCCATACTTGCTAACTATGGTCTACCCATACCTACCTGAAAAAATACGTGCCATATCCATAGTAGAAAACCAGAGAAAGTTTCGGGAGAATAGAAATAAAAATAGACATAGAAATTTCATAAAACAGGAAAAAAGATATTGAACTTTCCAAAAAAAAAATCAAAGTATATTAATAGGAAAGGTTTGTTGAAACGATTTTTCCAAATTTTGAAAGTGTCACGGTTTAAACTTCTTCCTAAAAAGATTGCGCATTTTTATCGATCTATTGAAAAAGTTGCTGATTAAATCGTTTTTCAAAAAAACGGGGTTTTTTGAAAAAGTCGCGATTAAATTGGCGACTTGCTAACTATGACTTGGATTGCCCATGTATTGAATAATGGGTACGGTTTGTATTGAGCCGAGGCTCTAAACAATCAAAGTGAAGCGCACCTTCAAATAGAGTGGAGAAATGTGCTTTCAATGTTGGGGATCGAGCAGATATATGAAAACTTGAAAATTGACGATCCAAAAATACATTACAAGATGCACTATTTCTAAAACTTAAAATCCATTTTTGTCTCATGTCCATGCATCTTGATGTCGAGATGACCAATTTGAGCATCAAAACAACCTCTTATAGTGAAACTTTTGAGATGTGTTATAATTTGATTGTTTAGAGCCTCGGCTCTATATGAACTTTTTCCTTGAATAATATACGACGTCATACATCGAGAGGACTGTGATGGTCCAGTAGGACCAAATTCTTGTGACATAATATTTTGATGTATTTTAAAGAACGGCACGGATGCAATAGATCCGTGGCGGGGGGGGGGGAGGGGTAAAAATGCCTTTCTATGCAAAAATCATTAGGATGTATTAAACGAGAATAAAAAATAAGTTCGAAATAAAAGGAACTATATGAGATATAATTGATAATAAACTTTAAAATGAAGAATTACCGATGCACCTAAAAAATCCTTCAATAGGTCGTCTCGACATTGAGATATGCAAATATGAAAAAAAAGAAGATTATGAGTTCTAAAAATAGTACATCTCGCAACACATTATCTAAACCATCCATTTTCAAGATTTCTATACGTTTTTAGATCCATTTGATTTTAACTATATTTGAAGTTTAAATTTTTATAATTAAATATAAAAATAAATTTTAAAAAAATCGTAAAAAAAATTTACATCATAATTACATGTTATGATAAAATTTGGAGGTGAAACCTTATGGAAACCGCACCCTTTGATAATTTCCCTATAATTTAACTTCTAACTCTTAAGGCGCGGTTGGGGAATTGGAAATTGTAGAGGGTAATGGCCGAAATGCATATTTTCATTGGACCCTATCCTACCCTACCCTAGGGTCTATATTATGTTTTTAAATGCCCACGTAGTTAGCGTCAGCTGTGGACCTACACTCTACATAGTATACTAGGGCCACCATGACCAGTCTCCCTCTCTAATGGCTCTGAAAAGATCCATTTCTCCCAGACTTTCTGCAACTGTAAGTTTTCTTTCCCTCCTCTTTCTTTCTCATTCAAATTCAATTTCGAAACACTAAAGCTCATCTCCTTTCTCTCTACTGTAGCACACAGTGCATTCCATAAAAAACTTGCATCTTCTTTTGCCTGTAAATTCATGAGGTTGATGGGAACCAATGGATCTGCTTGAGCTTTCCAGTGGTAGTTTTGTTTTCATGTTCATAATGCTCCATGGTAAGTTTTTAGTTTTTTTGGCGCAATTTCTTTGGGCTGGTCATCCATGTCTTGTAGTTTGTGTATGCTCTGAGTGGAAAAGGAGACTTAATGGATTTGGAGCTCAAGGCCCTAATTTTGCACCTTAAACGGTTCTTCTGTGTAAAATGATGGTGGTTTTGGTTATTTTTTTAGGTTTTTAATTGAAGATACACTTGATTTTGGTTGTTTCATTGAATTGTGGGATATTTATGGAGATCTATTTCTTTCAGATGGCGTGATCTGTGTTTGGGCTGCCTTGAAATTCTCTGTCAAAGAAGATGGGTAGGCTTTGACAGGCTGTTCTATCTGCTTTCAATTGAAAGCAGATTGTATTGACTCACCCACATTCATTTTTATCTCAAAGTTCAACATTATGAATGCTTTCAGGGATCTTACTTGCCTATTAAACGAGATGCTGTCATTAAGCAGTTCATTTATTATTCTGGGGTGTTTGGATTCTTGGGTTCATATGCGATTCGCTGATTCTTGAATGCATATTTGTGAATAATTATCTTGGAGTTGCGGAACTGCCAAATCTGGAAACTAACATTTTTACCATTTGGAGTATTGGGTTCTGTAATTTTAATAAATTCTATTAGTTGAGCTGTTTACTGTGATTCGCATGCCAATTCAGCGCGATTCGTGCGTTTCAGAAATTCATTTTCCATTTTTAGCTTATTTTTCTGCTATTTTACGATTTGTGGCACGGAATTCATAAAATATAGATACAATTCAAAACTTGGTTACTTGGGTTTTCTCAGTTTCTAAAGAAACCAGTACTTCAAAAGATTGGGTTTCAATAAGAGAAATTATGTTCTGCTTGTAAAGCATAACACTATGTTAGACACCATGGATATGCCCAAGCTTCATCTTAAAAAGGAGCTTTCTGCTCTAAGTAAGTCTCGGTTCCTGAAGGACCCTGCAACCTCTTCTTCATGGAAATCTCCAGCAAGTAATCGCTCCGCTCCTAATGCAAAGAGCCATCAGGTGTATGAAGGCCTACCCAATGGAACAAAGAACTCCCACTCATGTGAATTTGAGTTTAACTGTTCATCTAGGGTTGATGGGGGCGGGAAAAGGGTTTATCTTCACAATTGGAGATGCCAACCTGCTAGAGAAGGTGAATTATCTATGGCTTCATCTTATTTGAGTGGGTTCAATTCAGATAAGGATGGAAGTCTTGGTATAGTTTCGGAGAGTCCCAGTTCTCTCATAGAAGATATATCCAAGATAACCATTAAGAATCTCGGCGGCAAAACTTCAAAAATGAATATGCATGGGGATTCGTTTTCTCTTCTTGAAATGCATTTAACCACTGGCTATGTTGACCAATTTGATAACATGGGTCCATGTACTTCTGAGGAACTAGGGTTCTCCATGGACACATTGCTTCCATATTCCGGATATAATTCACGTTGCGAATCCCCCCTACTCTCGAGATGGGAAATTGGGTCCGAAGCCAGCAGTTTTAATGGTGAAAAATGGTCTCTTTCTTCCAGAATAATGAAAGGCAGTAGAAATAGGAATGACACTTGTACACCTACTTCTACTTGCTCTAATAGTAGGACTGGTGACATGATCCTTAATGCCAGTACTATGGAGTCTTCTGATGGGATGGGTTTCTCAGATGCTGATGAAATACATGGCATGGGTTTACCCCCTCATGGATGTGGGCTTCCTTGCTACTGGTCTAGGGGTCGAAAGCATAGGATTTGTAAGGGGTGTTTTTCTCCTTCTCTATCAGATACTCTGCGGAAAAGAGGCAGTGCCTTGTTTGGCAGATGTGGCTCTGGGTCACGTAAAGAGAGAGCAGTAAGTGAACTTAAATGTAATGTATCTTTACATGATGACCTGCCTTTGTTAACTGGTGGTTCAGAAAATGAATTTGCAGAACTTGAATCAGATGCTACGAGTAAAATGGACAAAAGAAAATGGTCTCCTTGTAAAAGGCAAGAAAGCCTGCAACAGGTTGTATCACCAGGATATAGAGATAATGCACTTTATGTTGAGAACAATGTAACTTTGAGTCAGAAATATAGACCCATATCCTTCAACGAAATAATCGGGCAAAATTTTGTGGTGCAATCCCTTATAAATGCAGTTTTAAGAGAGAAGATAGCACCTGTTTATTTATTTCAAGGTCCTCATGGGATTGGGAAATCAAGTACTGCGAGGGTACTAGCAGCTGCTCTGAATTGTTTGTTAGTGGAAGGTATCAAACCATGTGGGTCATGTAGAGAATGTGCTGATTTTGCTTCTGGGAGAATTGGGTATTTGAGGGAAGTGAATTCAGCTAACAAGAATGACTTAGATAAAGTTCGGAATTTTTTGAGGAACCAGTCTCTTGGGTTACCTTTTCCAGGGTTCAGAGTTTTCGTTATTGATCAATGTCACATGCTGCCATATGCATTGTGGGTGGCATTTTTCAAGCGCATAGAAGATAAGCCAGTAAGGGTTGTCTTCATATTTATAACTTCGGAGCCAGATAAATTGCCTCGAGCCATTATTTCACGATGTCAGAAGTACGTTTTCCAGAAGATGAAAGACACTGATATAGTGAACAGGTTGGAGAAGCTTGCAGTGGCAGAAAATCTGGAATTTGACTTAGAAGCACTGGAATTGATTGCAATGACATCAGATGGTTCGCTTCGGGATGCAGAGATCATGCTTGAACAGTCGACTTTGCGAGGACAAAGGATAACTGTATCTCTAGTAAACGACCTTGTAAGTATGCATTCTGAGTAGTCTATGTTATTTGGATGGCCATTTAATCCTATTCTTTCTTTGTGGTCCTTGAATGTAAAAGTCATATTCTTGTATCTGTGGGTGGATGATAGCTTTTCCCTAGACTATACATTCCCTGGATTCTTTCTGCATCTTACCTACTATGCCTTTGCTTTCAGGAGCTTTTTCATTCCCATCCTTATATTGTTGCTTGGTAGGCCTTTGGGTAAATTCATAAATTGCACATATTAATAGGCTTATATGAATAACTGAACATGTTTTTGGATCCTATTTTGGAAAGTTAATTGACTTTCATATGCCACAACAAATCATCTAACATGGTCCTAAATGATCAAGAAAATGATATAACCTTTTGAGTTTTGACTAAATTATTGGCCCTTAGCATTGAAGATGCCTACATGCCTGTTTTTGGCCTAAATTTCCATGACAAGCTATGGGATGCAAATATAACGATATCTTATTGCATAACTTCCATTGTAACTACCATGTACCTCTTGAAAATTGATTGAGTCTTGCGAACTGAGTAATGCATGAGTGATAGCAGCATGGTTTAAAGAACAGCCATATAAGGTAACAGAACTGGGCTGGTCTGTTTCCATTTTATAATGGTAATGGCCATCATAAAGGAGAAAATGGTGGCTGACCAAAGAAACAGAAAAAAGGGGATAAAAACAGAAAAGAGGGGAAAACAAAGGAATAAAGGAAAATAATGGAAAAAAGGAGAAAATGCAGTAATATTTCAAAAAACTATCTACTTATTTATTTATTCTTTTACAATCGCGCATTTTTACCTTACTAAAGGCCTTTCGTTTCTGTTATTTCCATTAAATCACTGTTATTTTCATTTCTCATTACTGATTTATTCTGAAGAAGCCATTATATAACAGCTGTTAAATAATGACCTTTTGGTGTATGGATCATGCTTTGCATCCCTGCCGGTTAAATTTATATAACATCAAGGGCGGTGTTGTTATAATGGTTATAAACTTATAATGGCTATCTTTTAAACCTTGATGGCACCTGTATAAACTACCCTATCTCTATGTCTCAGATCTTTCTTATGTTCCTCTGCTCTGCTTTACACCTTTGGCTCAAATTGTTTCTGTACTTCCTTTTCTTTTCTTCACTTTGGTTGTAATTACCATGATTATAAGGTCGTCAATATGCTTGGCTATGTTTTCATTGATATTCTGAGTCTTTCCTTCTTTTTTTTGTTTTTTGGCTCTCGCTAAGTTAGCAAGGGAGGGTCTTTCTTGAAAGTGATTCTCACGCTGATATTTTAGGATTATAATCTTATAACAAGTCTAAGTACCCAAATCCTCCAACTCTTCACAACAAATATTTAATGGGTTGTAAGTTACACCATAATTGTAGTTCAACATATCTCATGAAGTTAGTATCTAGAAGGACATGAGTAAAATTGTTTCTAATCATTCTTACAACACTGAGATCTACATTCTAACAACTTTTAAAAGTGTGCCATTTTCAATAGTCATGCTTGAGAGTAAGATTCTGTGTCTATCAAAAACCACATGAATAGATGGGGTCAACTTTCTTTTTGAAATTGTTGACTGTTTTATTGATAGAAGGGATGTACAAGAAACACGGGGCCAACTTTCCTGCTTGTCAATTAACACTGTGCAAACTTCGTCATATTTATTTGATGTCTATAAGTTGTCTTTTCCATACAACTTTTGGTGTAATAATCCTCAGTTTCTTGCATCAAAATTATTCTTCTTATTCTTACTGGGAGGTCATGCAGCCTGTATCTTAGATCAATCTAAGAAAGCTGAGAGGACATCGTGTAGTATCAGTTGCTATTCCAGTAGACCAGCCTGTTTTTTATTATAATTTTTTGTGAAATTGAAAATTTATCAAAATACGCCTCACTTTTGATCAATTTAACAATTTTCCCTTATACTATAAGACTCTTTGACTTTATTACGAGGAGGTCACAATTACTTGTAGCCCTTATCACAAAGTTCAAAAAAGAATTTCGAACTCTTAATCTAGTCAATGCCACTCCTACAACCACCCAATATGAACTCTGATGGATAAGAGTGATTGTGACCTTGTTATACTAAACGGTCTCGTTCTATACTTTTCAAAATGTTAAATAGTTTATCTCTTCTTTGTATTTTGATGGATTGTCCTTTAAAACTTTCCAACAGTGTTTCCTGGAATTGTATCGTATCGAAATAGTTTTTCATGATTTGGTCTATAGATTTGTTATTCTTTGCTGCTAAAAAATCATCTTAGTTATATTATGCCTTTTCTTCTTTAGGATGGTGTTATTCCAGATGAGAAGTTGCTGGATCTTCTTGATCTAGCTTTATCATCTGACAATGCGGAAACTGTAAAAAGAGCAAGGGAGCTGATAGACTCTGGTGCTGATCCAGTGGAATTAATGTCCCAGTTAGCCACTTTGATTATGGATATTCTTGCAGGCAGCGGATCTTGTAAGTCTCTTTTTCACAAGTTCCAAAATTCATTCATTAGCAAGGGCATGAGAAATTAGAATGGTTACAGGAACCTATGTATGATGGTTAGCATGATAGATTTACCATACAAAACTTTGAAGGAATTTTCTTGTTAATACCTCACCAATCAGTATTTCCAATATTTAGATGAAGAACTTTTCAGTAGATATCGCGGGACACACTATTTCTCTTACATTTTCTTGGCAGAGTTTATTGGAATTCATAGGAGCAAGATAGCATGATAGGTGCTTTACACACATGGGCAAAATTGTCGTGGTGCTACAGTTTTGGTGTAAAATTTACATTAACTGTCATCGGACACCTGTTGTTACCTTTTTCTTTTTCCCTGTTGAAAGATGGAGACCATTATTCCAGCGACAATGAAAAACATGGAAGCAGTTCTATAACACTTTTGAGTGAGAAAAAACTTTATTGTCTTATGAGAATGTATTAGTTTAGACACAGGATACATAAGATTCATCATTAGGACTCATATTAAGTTCATAATTTGAGTATCATTTGATGTCTCTTTTCTGCATTTCAATTCCACTATTGGCCTTAACTCGGGCCCAAACCGAGTCAACTGACTGAATCATGAATTGACTCGGCAAATATTATCCTAGTAGAACTTGAACACTCTCTTTAATATCCTTTTCTTTTCTTCTTAACTAGGGATAAAACCTTTTCATAACATTCTTACTGATCTGCAGTGACTGAAGCAGAGCTAGAGAAACTGAGGCAAGCACTGAACATTCTCTCTGAAGCTGAGAAGCAGTTAAAGGCATCGACTGACCAGTGCACATGGTTCACTGCCGCCCTATTACAGATTGGTTCCAACCATTGCCCAACACCCATGACTCAACCGGGTATCAGTCCCGATAATTCAAAAAATTTAGACCAAAGTGTTGTAATTCAGAGCTTCTCAGATGGTAAAGTTCCCAGTGACCTAAGTAAGTCAGGCTCTTTAAATGGGCAGGCCAAGTTAAAGCCAAAAGTTAGGGATGAAATTGTGGTAAGTAACTCACATGGAGAGCATGCGTCTTGCCATTCTGAGGTTGTGAATTATGGTTCTGAAACTTCACTAAGTGGGATTAGATGCACAAATCCAAGCCAGCTAGATGAGGTCTGGGGACTAAGTGTTCAGGGGTGTTATCCCATCACACTGAGGCACATGCTCCATGCCCATGGAAAGTTGGTGCTGATTTCTGAAGAGGATGGTTGGTTTTCATTTTCTTCAAAGTACTAGTAATTTTATTTTCTATCCAAAGCAGTATTTAAATTTCAAAGGGAAACTACAATGGCTGTGGTTTTCATTGTCCATTGGATGCTTTAACAAATTTAAAAGGGGAGTTTTCAAGGATGAGTTTAACTTACAACAAGGATATTGTTAAATGTCTTTTGCTTTACTACCATCATGGATTATGTCCTATGCTTATAAACCAATGTTTGAAAACCCGGATCTGTTGGGTGTACTGGCCATCCAGGAAACCGGTCCGCATTGGCCACCTAGCCGAGAGAAACCAGCCAATAAAAAAAGAAAAAATTGAAAACAAAAATAAAAAAATGAACATAATAATAAATAAAAAATAGGGAACTGGGCGATCTGCCACAGAATTGGCTGCTTCTAGTAGGAACCTCCCGGTTCCCAATACCGTTGGGGAACCGGGGCTATCTCCAACAATTCCCAGTTAGATTGGGCGATTCCGATCCATCCCAGTAATTTTTATAACACTGTTGTAGACCGTTACTACATTTATGCTAATCGTTTCTTGTACAATAGATGTGATATTTTATTTGCTTTTTCATGCTATAGTAAGAAAAACTTTGGGGAAAGAAAAACCAAATGGCTGGATCAGGTCCAATATCATGCTTCGGTTTTTTGGGGGAACATCAACTTTTGAACAAATATTAAAAAATAGGGATGGATAAGTTAATATACGGGAAGAAACAGATGTTGCAATTGGCTGATTAATGAGCTGCTGTGCTTTTAATTCAATGCAGGTAAAATTATTGCCCAGATAGAATTCTCACACCTTGATCATAAAGCCATAGCAGAGAGATTCTTGAGCTCTATCGCTGGCTCTATCGAAATGGTCTTGAAGTGTAATGTAGAGGTCAGAATGCATCATCTCTCTGCAAATGGGGGATCAAAAAACTCAGGACCAGAAGAGTCGAGTGTTTCAGGAGGAAAGCAAATGAGAATACATGGAGAAGAATCGAAAGTACTTGGAGATGTATTGATTGGTTCTAATTCCTCTTCTGTAACGGATGAGGAATTGAGGTTGGAAAGCGCTTGGCTACAAGCGACTGAGAAGTGTATGCCAAGGGTGGTGGATAGCTTAGAGAGAGAAGCTGATTTTGTCAGGGAGAGTGAAGCCTTTGTTGACAACCCAATGGTGCCTGAGCAGGCTGGAGTTTCAGCGGATGATGACACCTCAGCATTGCAGCCCCATGAAAGGGGGAGCTATCAGAGGGACCGGAGCAAGAGTAGTGATTGTAACGGCCCGTCCCTGAGCTTATTGAGTAAAGGCAATATCGAAGCTGGTTTAGAAAATGAAAGGTGAGTTCATGTGTCTTTTTGTGTGTGTGTGTGTGTGTGAGAGAGAGAGAGAGAGAGAGAGAGAGAGAGAGAATTTTATTTATCCATCTCATGATAAGTGAATTGATTGCGAATGTGAAAGTATTATGAATATATCAGGGTTTCTAAGCTCATTCTTCCTGGTTTTGCAGAGGATATGAATCTGGACCTAATTCAAGTGGCATTTGTTGTTGGAAAGTTTCGAAACCGACTCAAGAGAAGGTTAGTGACCAGGGTTTTTCTGAATCTTCCAAACTTTTACTTGTGTTCATCATACATGCATCTCTCTCTCTCTCTCTGAGTGTGGGGTGGGGGGACTGTGTGTGTATGTGTGTGTGGGTGGGTGTAGGATTTGCTATAAGAGGTTCATGTTAAGAACAGCAGAGAAGTTTACGAATCTGATGATTGTGCTTATTTCATCCTCATGCACTGAAAGCACTTGATTTAAAAATTAATCCAAGTACAAATGAAATTGCGGTTGGATCTTAATGGCAACTCATACTTTTATCCTATCTACGCTTTTCAGGCAAAACAAAACTCAGGAGATCGTCAGAGAAGTGGCTTAAATCGAAACTCTGGTGATTGTCAGAAAAGTGGGCACTCTTTATGGGTCATACCCTGCGTTAAATCCAAAAAATAATTTATGTTTGTGTATCATGTTACTGGTGAGAGTTTATAAAGCAAGTGTTCCTGCCTGGCCGAATTTTACTTTTCAAAGAGGCATTTCTTTTTGCTCATTTTTGGAGTCACAAACATTGTTTCTAGTTTGGTTTTTTTCTGTATCATGTACATTATGCTGAGCAATTTGTCCAAACCCGTATGTACTCCCTCCACTTGCTAATGGAATTTGAACTCGAGGGATGAGGTCCATGCTGCAGGGTTACATTAACGGCTCTCAAAACCTTTTGAGAAGCAAGAAACCTGAGAGAGATTGTAAAGTGGTTGAAGATACACAGGTATTTTTTAACAGGGATTTATCTATGTGCCTTCAATTGATGGAGAAGGCGAAGGGGTGGCACATACTTCTCACCTTAGCATGGCTGGAGCATGGCTCAAGCTGCGCAAAAATGTGTTTGTGGTATCAATGGTATCTGGTATGTGTTAGTGTCTTACCAAAAAAAGTAAATCGAGAGGGCGTCATATGCTGCACCTCTGTTGAGTGGGTGACTGACGTTGCACCTCCAGGCTAAACGGACGATCGAGATCCAAGTTTTTATGTGGGAAAGGTCCTTGATTCAGCAATAAATGGATGTGATCATTCGTTGAGTGGAAATAAAGGGCTTGGATCTTTTTCGCGCGTCTTTCATGGCTTGGGTTCTCGTATAGGCTCTCATTCTTTGTTTTTTTCAATTATGAAACAAGTGCTTTTGCGTTTGCTTGTAGTGGCACTAGTAACTCGCCTTGTTTTCGTTGCCATGTACTAGCTAAACAAGTGCGAATTTTCCTTCTTTAAATTTCCCTGCAATATAATAGCCAAATAAGTGGGTGATGCAGATCAAGAGATCCATATATTTTTATTCTTAATTTTTATGGGACTTAATTATTTGTTATTTTCTATGTGTGTAGTTTAATTTTCTTTAGGAGCGTCCATTGATAAAAATAGGATTGATCGGGTTTCTGGGTTGGTTTGATAAACTCTTTTTTTGTATACTTTTTTAAAGATAATAGGAGGTTAAATCTTAAAGAGTCCATTTAGGATAAGTATAATTAGGCACATCCATTTTTTTTTTTTTGCATGATTCCTTTTCTCAAAGGAGGGTTTTTTATTATGGATAAGACACTTTCTTTTTTGCATGATTCCTTTCCTCAAAGGACGGTTTCTATTATGGATAAGACACTTATCTCTTGGATGGATTAAAGTGGACGGAAGGTTTTGATGTTAAGGTTTTATCTCTTTTAGGGAAGTCATATTTGGAATAGTTGGCGTCTTTAATAAAGAAAAAATTATCAATACCTCTCAAAAATAAGTTTCCAGTCATTTTACTCCCCAATATTTTTTGCAATTACTCTCTACACCCTATTTTCTTGTATTTATCCATCCCCTAGTCAAAGCGTCAATTAATTTAAGACTGAAGTGCTCTTACCCTCTTTTTCTTGAAACCCACGTGTTATTTGGCACTTTTCTCTCAATCTATGCCCAAAACCCCTTTTTTTCTCTCTCTAAAAACCCATTTCATTATCTGAGTGTCCAAACTCTCTTTAGAAAAAAGACCCATTTCATTATCTGAGTGTCCAAACTCTCTTTAGAAAAAAGCTCGTTGGAATTTCAATAATATTTTATAAAAAATAATATATTAATTTATAATATACTATATTATATAACATTAAATAATATATATTAGTAATAAAATATTATAAAAAATACACAATACAAGCATTATCAGAGCTTTTAGTGAGGGGACAGTCTTTAAGAGAGTTTTAAGGGGACTTTCAAATCTCCTTGTAGTGCCAAAGAGCGTGAGAACGAGAGAAATATCGTATCGGGCAGTGATAATATTTAACAATTATTTGAAGCAATCTGATCGGACCAAAGGAATTATTCGTAATTTCTTTTCAGAAAAAAGGTGAAAAGTCCATCTTTAAAGAGATAAGGATAATAGTCAGAAGTGGAACTAATAAAAAAGGAGAACCTCATACATCATGGAGGATGTTTGTGCTTTTTTAACTTTGTTTTAATTTTCAGTTAAAAAGATGGAGGAGAGGGAGCCTTAGGTCAATACCGTCGAGTTTGAGAGTATACGGTGGCCCAGGGCCTTGGGATGAGGAGATAAAGAATGGTGACGTCTTTTATGACGCTGACACGTGCTTGCTATCTCTGCTCGTTTGCCCGTACACCGACCAAAGCCCTGAGCCAAAATGGAGATGAATATGATAACCCCCCAATGCATGGCTCTTTGCCGCTATTGCTATTGCTATTGCCTCGGGAGTCCCCGTAAGGTTTATCAGAATGGTGAGCCTTTTATTATTATTATTATTATTATTATTATTATTATTATTATTATTATTATCATTTTTTAAGATAATTCAGCGTGTAGAAGGGCTTCTAACCAAATTTTCACGTAGATTAAAAATTGGTTATTTTTTTTAATGATATTAATGGGATGGTTTTAGTGGTAAAAATAAAAATCACTACGTGATGATTAGAGTGTGAGGTCCTACCACCACGACCCACAATTTGCTGATGTTATCGATGATGACGATCACGAATCTAAAAATATTTTGGAAAAATAGATGTGGTGCTTTTCATTGTTTTTATATAATCCTTTTTGAAAAATAGATGTGGTGCTTTTTTAATTGTTTTTATATAATCCAATACAAGTGGTGTTTCTCTCCCTTCTATCAACTGCTATTTAGCCATCAACGTCTCTTCCCGGAACGGCCAGTGGATACCCCTGTTTTGGGGAGTGGGGGCAGCCGCAACTCAATGGAAGCTGTTCGTATATTGTACACAACCGACTATGGTGAACTCCCCATCAAATTTAATTCCTCCACGACCACCACTTTAGGCTTTTTCCTTGGTCTCACTCCTGAGGTGCTCTCTCCCCTCCCTGTTTATGTCGGTTGTAAGTTGTACACTTACAATAAATTTTTGAATATTTCCTTGTTAACAAGTTGTTTTTTATTTCACGTTTTAGGTTGAAGGTCTATATATATATATATATATATACTATTGAACATCAGACATTAGCTTTCACAGAAACATCAAATCCATATATTCAAAGAATAACATATGGTAAAGATTGGAAACCTGCTACTGCTAGACCTTACCATCTTAGACCCACACCAGTTGATATTTAATACGAAGAATATTTAATATCACATACAACTTCCTATTCTAGAAGGTCAATAGTCAATTGGAATATTGGTGGCATGGTTGAAACCCAAGTATTAGATATTATAAAACATATGACAATGTATGCTTCAGCCTGCATAATGGTTGGCAACCAATATCAAGAAGTCACCAAAGCTATAGTCTGTGGATTTACTGACTGGTTAAGAGGATGGTGGGATTTTCACCTCTCGAAAACATCAAAAAATCAAATATTAACCAATACTCGTCAATGGACTGTCAAGAATGAACAAAAGCAAGATATCCTCTATTCTGAAAGTGATGCTGTTAATACACTTATTTATACTATAACACTTCACTTTGTGGGGAGTACTACATTAATGGAAGCCAGATCTGAAGACTTACTTTTTAATTTGAGATGTCCAACTTTATCACATTATAAATGGTATAAGGATGTTTTCTTTTCTAGACTCTTATCCTGAGAAGATAGTCATCTGGACCACTGGAAAGAAAAATTTATTTTAGGATTACTACATTTATTTGCTGAGAAAGTCAGAATCAGATTAAAAAATAAACATGGTGGAACTATACAATATTCTAATTATACTCTAGGAGAATCATCAGCAGAAATATGTGCTGATGGATTAGCCCTTTGCACACATATGAAATTAAAGAAACAGTTGGATAAACACAATATGACAGGTAAAAAAGAATTAGAAGATTTTGTCAACAATTTGGTTATCATATAGAACAAAAAAACAAAACTCATAAAAATAAACATAAAAAATATAGACTAGATAAGAAAGAAAGAAAATTATATAAAAGAAATATATATATATAAATTCTTGCCCAAAGACCAATATAAAAAAGGCAAAAGAAAAATACCTATCTGTTATAAATGCGGTAAAGTAGGTCATTATAAAAATACATGTAAAGTTAGGAAAAACTAAATGCAATCATATTATATGAAAATATAAGAAATCAAATATATGATATCATACAAATAGACAAAGAAGAATCTACCTCAAGTTCAGAAAGTGATAGTGGTAGTGATAATTCGCTAATAGGACAAATAGAAGATGAAAATATTATAATTTCAAGCTCTTCTGATATGGAATGTTCTTATAGTATGCCATCTTGTAATATGTTATCGAAAGAAAATTCATTAATCTTAGATATCATAGATAAGATAAATGATCCTGATGAAAAAAGAGAAATCCTGACTCAGTTTATTAATCTTGCAAAATCTAAAACTATAACTACTCCTTTAATAAAACCCCAGATGAATATAGTTTTGCTGATATAATGAAGAGAATTAATCAAAAAGAAAATATACAGAAAGAGCCTACTATAGCTGAATCAAAACAACAGGTCAACGAAGTAAAAATAGAGATAAATCATCTCAAAAATAGAATTAAAATATTGGAATTACAAAATGAGGTTAATGAAGAAATAACTGATTCAGATGAAATTGAATTTACCCAATTAGTAGATATACCTGAAACATCATGAACAAAAATAGAAGAAATAGATAATAATACATCTGTAAATATACTCAATAAAATAATAACTCAAAAATGGTTTGTTATAGTTAAAATTATTATTAATCAAGAAGATGAATTTCATTCAATAGCCCTCATAGACTCAGGAGCATATTTAAACTGTATTAATGAAGGATTAGTACCTACAAAATATTTTGATAAAACTACTCAAATATTAAATACAGCCGATGGAAGTAGATTGTTTATAAAATATAAATTATCTAATGTTGTAGTATGTAATAAGGAACACTGTTTTCCTACACCATTTATTATGGTAAAAGGACTAAGTCAATCAGTAATATTAGGAGTTCCATTTCTTACTCTTTTACATCTAATACTAATAACTAATGAAGGAATAGAAACTTCTATAGCTGGAAATAAAATCTTATTTGAATTCATAGATCCCAAACTCAAAGAAATTAATAATGTTAAAACAATTATTCAAAATAAAGAATCATTTTTGTACTCATTAAAAGAAGAAATTTTTTAAAGAAATACTGAAGAAGCATTACAAAAAGAAGAAATACAAAACTAAATTAAACAAAAGTTTGAACAAGAAATTTGTAGTAAAATACCAAATGCTTTTTGGACTAGGAAAAAACACATTGTCGGATTGCCATATGAAATTAGATTTGAAAAATAAAAAATACCAACAAAAGCAAGACCTGTCCAAATGAATTCTACTTTATTAGAAACATGCCAAAATGAAATAAAATAATTATTAGCTAAAAATTTAATAAGACCAAGTACATCTCCTTGGAGCTGTGCTGCATTTTATATCAATAAAAATGCTGAAAAAGAAAGAGGTGTGCCCAGGTTAGTAATAAATTATAAACCATTAAATAAAGTTCTTCAATGGATACGATATCCAAACCCAAATAAAAAAGATTTATTAGACAGATTAACCAAGACTACAATTTTCTCTAAATTTGATTTAAAATCAGGATATTGGCAAATACATATAAAAGAA